AACATTATTGCAATATTATTATCCATACTATAGCGCAACCAAATGTACATTGTTATAATTTTTTGATGAAACATGAAAGATCTAACACTGCCAATTCAACCTATATTATGAGCTACACGAACCTAACGAGTACTCCGTAACACAACTTGTAGAATGGTTCGCGCAAAGTAAAAACCTTTTAAACTCGACCAGGCTCTTTAGTGTGTGAGTACTATCAAGTTTTTTTAGATGTCAAGCCGATTTTCTGAGTAATTTTTAAACTCGTGGGTATCTGAGTTATTTTTCCAACCCAGCTCCTCCGTTGTTGCTTGCTACCGGACTAACAACAGGAATCAAAATGAGGTTACAAGATAATTATTACAAAATGCCTGGTTGAGTGATTAAGTTGAAAGTTTCCATAGGCTGCCAAGAATTCGTGCAGAGAATATCAATAATATGAAGGCCAATTTGGGCTGGCCTAGTATTTTTGTTTTGAGCACTTTGGGCTGGCCTAGTGGCCTCATAAGAAAAATAATGCCCTCAAGGCCTGTACTGGGCTGGCATACTCTCTAGCCCACTTAGAAATTCTCCTGGGCTTCGTATACAAGCTATAGTCCACATCTCCGCCAGTCCAGTTTCCCTCCATTCCCTCGCGGAGAAAAAAAGGAGGAACCGCGGAAGTTCGCCGGAGATGTCGTCGGCGGCCACGAAGCTCGCCAACGCGGCCGACGCTACCTCGGCGGAGGCCCAAACCCTCGTCCTGGTAAGAACCCCTTTGCCCCCCTCCCTCTCTCCCCCACCAATCCCACCTCCGATTTCATCCAGCAAAACCCTAACCCCTCCCAAAATTCCCCAAATCCGCAGGACATGCGCAAGGCGCTCAGCTCCATGAAGTCCCTCGCCGTGGAGTACGAGAGGGCCGGCAAGCCCGACAAGGCACGCCACCGCTCCCCATTAGCCCCCAAATCCCCCGCCTCCCCTGGAACCCCCTAACGCCCCCGAACCGCGTGGATTTCTGCAGGTGAAGCAGCTGGAGGACGCGGTGCAGGAGCTGGTGGCCTCGTACGAGGACTGCGCGTACCTCGCCGAGGCGGTGAAGAAGGTGCCCGTGGCGTACCAGCCGTCTGACCAGGTGCGGGCCGTGGCGCTTGTGTGTGGGGGCGTTCGAATTGGGGGCAAATTTGGGCTAACTCTCTGCACTCTGTTGGTTTGGGAAGGCGACTGATTTCAGAAAGCTCATCGAGTGGGAGGTTGAGAAGGTCAAGGGGGCCTCGCGATCGTCGGGACACAAGGATCAGCTCATACGGCAGTTCAAACAGGCTGTTTGGGTATGTGCCTCAGAGAAGCCTCTTATTTCTGATTGTTCTGAAGATAATCTGCAATTGTGTGCTGTAGATGCATTTGCTAAGCGAGGTCCTTCACCAAAGATGCGCACGAAAGTTGTTTAACTTCCTTTGGGAGACCTATGGCGAAGAATGTGTCTGTTTGTGTGTGATTTCGAAGTGCCTGACCTTTTGTGTGTTTGTGCTCTGTCTCTGCAGGAGGTTCACCATGCAGGTCAACCGATGCCTGGTGACGAACAAGAGGAACTTGTTATGACCAGCACCCAGAACAGCATCCTAAATATGCATTGCCCATTAACCTTGAAGCCTATCATTGAGTTGGAAAATCCAGTTCGCTGGTAAGCAGTCGGTGCCTGGTTTTGTTTTCATACTCTTATGAAATTTGTGTTGTCTGTGAGCATGCTTGAGCCATAATCGTTACTGTAAATGTTTGTTCAATGAGCACCCATTTCTTATCGTGTTCCCACCAGATAAAAACTGATCGAAGTTTTGTTTTCACACTGAAAATGAGCAAAGTTTGTAGGCACAATGCAATAGCTCATAGTGCCATTCTACTCCTGTTAGTATTTGCCTCTTAACCCTTTCAGTCTCATTGAAAGCACCAGATTTGGTTGTCCTTGTTTTTTACATGCATACTATAGAAAATTGTCAGAATTTGCTTCCTCATCGTGTAGGATCCGCATGCTGTAAGATAAGCTTGCTCTTAATCCTGCATGTCAATAGAATTACTTCACAACTGCGAATCGAACAACTGGCATTGGTATCAAATCAAACCACTAACTATTAATTTTGATTTATTTGCTCAAGCAAGGGGTTTCGCCAGTGGAAAGAATATGCAAAAGATGCTAGTAAATGCACACAGCCAAATATCTGCGGATGCTCAATTCCAAATGGGTTTGTAGCCCCACTGTGTAGGATCCACATGCTATAAGAAACGCTTGTTCTTAATCCTGTGTGTCAGTAGAATTAGTTCGCAACTGTGAATCAAGCAACTGGAATTGGCATCGATCAAACCATTAACTATTAATTTTGATCTATTTGATCAGTAAGGGAGGGCAGGCCTGGCGCAGTGGTGAAGTCCTCCCCACTTGTGCCAAGAGGTCCTGGGTTCGAACCAGCCTCTCTGCATTGCACTTTGCAGGGGTAAGACTAGGTTCCTATAATCCCTCCCCAGACCCCACCTTGTGTGGGAGCTTCTATGCACTGGGTCTGTCCTTTTTTCCTATTTGATCAGTAAGGGGTTTCACCACTGGACGAAGTATACAAAAATTGGTAGAAAATGCAGATCGCCAAAATATCTATGGCTGTTCAATTCCAAATGGAATCGTTTCCCTATTGTGTAGGAGGATGCGTGTGTCATAAGAAAACCTTGCTCCTTCTGTTAACACATGCTTTGCTTCAGTAGAACTAGTCTGCACCTGTGAATCGAACAACCAGCATTGCTATCTAGTATCAAACAACTAGCTGTTGATTTTGATTTATTTGCTCAATTAAGTTTTTTTTTACCAATGGACGAAATATGCAAAACGCTAGAAATCACACGCAGCCAACATATCTTCAAATCTCCAGTTCCAAATACTAACATGGTGATGTTTCCTTTCCCTCTGCAGCATGGATTGCAGGCACATATATGACAAGGATCCAATAATGAGCCACATCCGGAGGAGCAAAGCTCCGAATTGCCCCGTTGCAGGTATGCGCAGTTGCTCTCAGCACCCTTGCTCTCTCCTTTCACGAGGTCCCCTTACTCCAGTTCATCTGTTCAAAACCAGGCTGCCCGGCGGTGCTACAAGTGGCGAGGATCTTCTGCGACACCTTCCTGCGTATGGAAATCGAGGAGCTACGCTCGTCGAGGCCGTCCGCTCCGAACACCACGGAGGTAGAGGATATCTCGGACCAAGGGGAGGACGAGGCAGAGGACCTGATGGACGATGACGAGGACGAGTGATTAGGCGTCTAGAGAGATGAACCTTGTTGGATGCTCGGTATTATGTAGGATGATGGTAGGTTTGGTACTTTGTTCAGGTCACACCTGTGAGCACACGGGTTCCACATTTCCATGGCGTCGGGTGTGTTCTGTGGGGATCGCGGGATTGATGTGTTCGTTCGCTCGTCTGATTGTTGTTTTTGATTGATTGGCGAAGTTACTCTTTGTTCTTCTCCATTCACAAATGATTTGGAAATAGGAAAGTAGTGGAAAGTTGAGCTGCTGTCCATAGTCATGCATTCGTTGCACCACGGATTGTGACATATAAAAGAAGAGAAGAGATCCATCCCTGGTGAAGCAAAGGGATCGAGGTCATAGGCATGAGAGGTCTCATCAGCGCGAACGAAGAGGCAAAGTGAACAGACAGGAGGATCCCTGGTCACACAAGTCGACGAAAATAAAATGGAAGACACTATTTCCCTGCTGGGCCGTATGGACCTTGCTTTTGGTTCCTTCTTCATTTCGGCCCTTCCTTATTAGGGGCTTGTTATCTCTTCCCTTCGGGGCTTCTAAAGGGCCGTGCTCCTTCTGCCATCATACTTGTTTTTTTTAAAAAAAAAACACGTCAATGGCGGGCTTACGCCTGCCTGAACCATATATTATGAAAACAT